AGGCCCTCGCACAGGTACGTCCCCCCGGCACCCCCCGCCACCCCCCGCCACCCCCCGGGCTCGGCTCGCGGTAGACTCATCACTTGCGCGTGTGTGCACAGGCCACGGAGGAGCTGGAGGGCGTGCGCTCCCTGCACGACGAGACCGTGCGCGCCTGGCACGCCGCCCGCGCCGCCGCCGCCGCGCAGCTAGAGGTGCTGCTTCTGTGCCGTTTGTCTTTCAACTCTTACTTAATACAAACTCATTCTGCTTTAGAGTAAACACGTTCAGCTTGCTTTGAGTAATGTGATGTTTGCTGGATCATAATTATAGAAATTCTTGAGTCCAAAATGAGTAGGAAAGTTAAGAAGACTACTATATTATAATTAGCTGACATATTTAAATATCGGCCGCGAGGACTTAGTTGAGTATTCGGGGCATGCAGGAGCTGGGCGCGGCCGTGTCGGCAGCCCGGGGCGCCGTGGCCGCCCGCGCCGAGCAGGCCAGCGCCGCCGCCCAGCGCGCGCTGCACCACGTCACCCTGCTCACCGTGGACCGGGAGACGCTGCAGGGGAAACTGGACAGGTCAGTGCGCCGACCCCGCCATGTGGACTCGGATAGTCCCTTGTTCCTAAGTGGGGTTCGAAGATGCTTTAATAAAGCATTTTTATTCGTTGTTGCAGCTTAGAAAGAGACAACGCGACGCTGCTGGGCCGCTACCTGAAGAAAGCGGAGGAGATGCAAAATGAAATTATCGACCTGCCCGACGACGTGCAGGTACCCGCCACCCTGCTGTCCTCTGTACAGTGTAGCTACAGCTCGGCAGCTCTAAGGTCATCCCACGCTAGCGTTGAGGGGAACTGACCAGTGGGAACCTGACCTGGCCACGTCGCCCTGTTCCTCCACCGAACCCAACGTTTGAAGGGACTCTTATTGGATTGTGACACCTAATAAAAGAATAAAATCAAGAAGAAATCCGGACAATCGGTAACTTCATTAATGAACAACTTGACCGCTGTTACCAGGAGCTGCAGGAGCTGACCCTCCGCCTCCGCGAGCAGCTGATCTCGTGCTGCCTGTCCCGCGAGCAGGCCGCCGCCGTGGAGCAGCAGCAGCGCCTCCAGCTGCTGCAGCAGTCCACCGCGCTCCAGCAGCACGAGGAGAGGGCGGCAGCACTGGCCGCGCAGCTGCACGCCGCTCAGTACGTACACCAGACAAACTGTAGACCTTCCTGTCCGTGTTGTCGAGTTAAGACCGTTAGGAAATCGACTAAAATTCCCTTTTTCCTAATCCACGCCATCTATCGGCTTTATGAAGAATTGTAACGCGCCTCCTAGCGGGCGAAGAACAACAACTGAGTCGACGCTTCGCACCGCGCGCGCAACATGAAAAGAGCTATTTAATTAAAAAATACTGTTTTTCGCAAATTTTGCTATTCAACTTGTGCGTGTGTGTCCGTGTGTCTTAAACTCCACCAATCCAGAACAGTGCCCCGGGAACAGAAGACCACAGACAATATCAAGCGAGCATTTGCGAGTACCTTCCCCCTTTTTAGTCGGTTTAGTTTTCTGAGAATTCAAATTTAATTCAACAAATCTTGTTGATACAACAACGAGATCTGAACACATCCGCACCCTCACGCCGCAGGGAGGAGCTGGACAAGCTGCAGACGGAGCGGTCCCAGATGAACGAGCTGGCTGACAAGCTGCGGCACTCCAACGACATGATCGAGGGGCTGCTGGAGGACAAGGTACCCTACCATGCACGCGATGTACTTCACATCTGAGTAACGCCCTCATCTACGGGGGGAGGGGAGGGGGTCCGCAGCGACATCATCTGTGCACGATCAGCACTTAAGGGAAAAAAAACTATATTTGTTTTTTCTACAATCCACACTAAAACACGCCAGTTAAACATGTGGCACTCACCTCGATCTACTCTCACGGTCTGGTGTAATTTAGGTACTTCGCAGGACACGTTAATTTAGCACGTCACCACACTTTTCTTGCTTAAAAAGGAAGTTTGTCACAAATTTTCTTGTTCTAGACCATTCATTCATTGTCCTTTTTTTCTAACGAGTTCCATGGCAACGTCACCGAAGAATTTTAATTTTGTTGTAAAAAAGGTCCGATAGGATTTGAGGGTGCCACTTGACAGACTTTAAGTCGTCTGCATCTGGCGCGAATTTGTGTGCAAACAAAAAGATTGTCGGGACGATACAATCTGTTTGTCGAGTAATGTTAGAGAGTTCAAACGCTTGGCTCCCCTGCCAGTGGCCCGTGGACTGCTGTTACAGAAGCGGCTGCAGTCGGAGGCGGCAGAGATGCGCAGTCGCGTGGCGGCCCTGCAGCTGGAGCTGGACAACAGTGAGAAGGTGCAGCAGGACTTCGTCAGACTGTCGCAGTCTCTGCAGGTCAGTTTATAAGTTGTTGAAAACCAATATGTGGGAACGGGTTGCGAATTGGCGCGGCGTTCGCGACTTGACATCTGTCACTTCTGCTTGCTTCTCGAATGGGATGGTACCCTCATGTGTGACGGTCTTGCTACGGTACGCTACAGTTTTCCATGATCACTATTCCTTATCCATTCCCGCCCTAAAGCCTTTCTCCCTAAGTGATATGGCGTGAGACGACGAGGTTATCGGTCCCGGTGAGTGATTAGACGATATTTTGTTAAAATAGTACATACGGCGGACATGTTCGACGGGCATCTCGTGCTGGTTTCCGGAGCCCTGGGCTGCCACGAGGGCGCTGGGTTCGGGTCGAACATAAGTTTATTGGCTAAACTATTTAAATTTACTTTGGAAAAATTTAATTGAAAAACGAGTTTATTGCTGGCTATTCTTTTCGTTTATTCTTAACGTTTATGCGGACAAGCGCACAATAACACAAACCATCCGGATGGATGTTACATCGGAGCCAGTTCGTGTTCGCCGCCAGCGCCGCGTGTTCGCCTCGGGACATTTGTATCATGATGTCATCTGTCAGTTAGTTCAAATCTATCAATATATCTATATATTAATACGTGAAGCAAAAACTATGTACCTCTTTTTACGAAAATTGCGCGGACGGAGAAGTATGAAATTTTCCACACTTATAGAGAATATAGAGGTGTGCAGAATGTTAATATTGTTTTAAATTATGCATAAAAAATACATTAAATCAATAAAAAAAACATTACACACACTATCATGTATTTGACACACACATACACACATGCATATTATTTGACTATTGTCAAACTTATTACATATAGTCTGTGGTCAAATTGAGAATAGATTAAATAAGACTTTTTGGCGGGAGAGGGCGAGGAGTGAAGTTGTGTGATTTGTTTTATTTTGTCTATTTAGTGTTTCTTCAGGTTTAAATGTGTATTAACGGTGGTTCATTAACTGTTTAATATCTGTGAAAGTGCACAAATGTGGGAAAATGAAACAAAGCCGCTGGACGTAACTTCTCGGGATCCTCTAAAAAGTCCACTGAAAAAATCTCAGTAAATTACCATCATTTTACTGGGTTTACATTTCATTCCATCTCATCTCATTTCATTTAATTTCATCCCAGTTGATTAATGTCTCAAATTAATCATCTTCATTTCATTTTACTGCATAATATAATTTTTCATAAAAATAAGAATATAAAATAAGACATGACGTGAAGGTCTTAGTTATCAGGTCATAAAATACTCCAGGTGCAGCTGCAGCGCATCAGGGAGGCGGACACGGAGGTGCGGTGGCAGCACGAGGACGACGTGCACGAGTGCCCGTCGTGCCGCCAGCCGCTGCCCAGCAACAAGAAGAAGGTGCACTGCCGGCACTGCGGGCGCATCTTCTGCGCGGCGTGCGTGAGTGCGCGCGTGCCCGCCGGCCCGCGCCGCCTGCCCGCGCGCGTGTGCTCCGTGTGCCGCACGCTGCTGCAGCCGCACGCCGCGCCCTACTTCTGCACGCAGCCGCCCTCCTCGCCGGACTAGACCCCCCCCCCGCCATTACAGTTGTGCAACGAAACGGTCGCTAGGCAGCGGCTTGGCTCTGCCCCTGGCATTGCTGAAGTCCATGAGCGACGGTAACCACTCACCATCAGGTGGTCCGTATGCTCGTCTGCCTACAAGGGCAATAAAAAAAAACCTTTATCCAAAATAAATGTTATTAATACCTACTTCATTACTACTATTCAAACTTACCGCACCCTAAATTGTGAAATTGCAAAGAAATCAAAATATTTCTAATTAAAAAGTTTCATGAACAACTGCTCTGGTTTTTTTGAAATAAATGAAAAGCTGTAAATTTAGTGGTCCGTGGACCACATACTGTTATTTATATTATGACGTAGATAAATCTACTTGTTAAAGTAAATGTTTATTATAGTTGTGTAAAAAATAAATGATTAAGTTTAAATTATTGTAGTTTTATTACTAAACATTTTTGAAGTTATACTTCTTTAGGCGCGTTATGAAAAATTGATGAGAGTGAAATTTTACGATGCGCGCGCACCATGACACAAAATTAACAGAATGAAGTTGCCCACTAAATCGCTCATTACAATACCACCGACGTAACTTGGCGAGTCTGAATATAGCCGCAGGTGAACTTTCCGAACCGTACCGAGAATTACCGAATTTATACGATATAAAGAAAAGCGATGTCCAATATGCGTGTTTGAGGATGTTGTTTAATCGATTTTTTCAATTTGATTAAAATTTAGATAAAAAAAAAAACAAAAACTTAATAAAAATAAAGTATAACTTCTTACGGGCGTACATAAGTACACGCACCTTTTTTTAATATTATATTTTCGATTTTTTTTAACCAAACGACTTGCCTATGGTGATCCACTGTGCCACAGCGCCTTTATTATTTACTATTTAAATTTTAATTCTAAAAACACCTCTCTTAACACACCCATAAACGGTAAGTTGCATTGCTTGTTGTTGGCTGTTCTCAAAAAATATTTAATTTTAAGTAGGTTACTGTAGTAAAATAGTAAGGTTAGTGAGGATATTTTTTTTCAATAAAACAAAGAATGTATCATCCAAAATATAATAAGATATGTAATCAAGTCCTATATTAATTAACGTCACAACTGAAATTAAAATCTTAAAGGAATGAGAATATAAAGAGCTTGTTCCGTTTCTTGACCTAATCCGCGTAGTTCTCCAGGCTGAGGGTGATGACGTCACTCACGAGGCAGTCCGCCGGCTGCGGACAAACGAACATTAAGTCACATAGCTGTAGCCCATGGTCCTCGCGCCCGGGGACACCAGCACACGTACCTCCGAGCAGATGCCGACCAGCGCATCGGCGCACCCATAGAACTCCTCCTTGAGCGAGATGACGATGGTCTGCAGACAGCCCTTCTTGGAGCGGATGTAGGAGGCGACCTTGCCTATGTTGGTGTTGTCCAGGGCCGCGTCTATCTCGTCCAGCAGAAAGAACGGCGCCGGCTGGTAGCTACGGAATCGCATATAAAGGAACAAAACATTGTTACTTCAATCTATATATTAATACGTGAAGTAAAAACTTTGTATCCCTTTTTACGAAAATTACGCGAACGGAGGAGTATGAAATTTCCCACACTTATCGAGTATATAGAGGAGTGCAGAATGCTATTATTTTTTAGAAGAATGCATAAAAAATACATTAAATCAATAAAGAAAACATTACACACACTGTCATGTATTTGACACACACTGTCATGTATTTGACACACACTGTCATGTATTTGACACACACATATGTATATATACTCTTTGTTTATTGTCAAATTGCTTAATCTGTGGTCAAATTGAAAATAGGTTAATATTGTTTATCTTTAGTATTATTTGTCTATAGTGTAGTCTTAGCGAAATTTGTGATTATAGAAGTATGATAGTCTTTGACAATATAACCATAATAATGTTCAAACTTATAATTTCAATTCATTATTTTCGACTACTGCGGGACCACTACTTGTAATTAAAATTGAAAAGAATGTACGCGGTGCGGGGTGTCGTGCGGACCTGTGGATGGCGAACAGCAGCGCTAGCGCGGCCACCGTCTTCTCCCCGCCGGAGAGGTTGGACATGGGCTGGAAGCGCTTCCCGGGCGCCACGCAGTTGTAGTTGATGCCGTCCAGGTACGGCTCCTCGGGGTTCTCGGGACCCAGGAACGCCTGCGCCGACTGGTTCATCGCCAGCGCCTGCAACAGCGGGCCGTCACCTCCACCTCACCGACAACAGTGACAACAGCGACAAAGTATGCGAGTCTTCCAGAACGACTAGATAAGAACTCAGTGAGGAGACACTTTAACTACAAACAACATTTCATAAAATATATAACCACTATTATGTTTATCATCCCACAGTCCTTCACTGCTGGACACAGCCTCTCCACACTACGCACTGTCCATCCATCTCTGACCTCCCCTCGAAGGTCATTGCACTACATGGTCGGTCCTGCGGCATGCTCGTCCAGCTGCCACTGCAGCCACGTGTCGGCGGGTGGCGGGGGCGGTGGGGGGCGCGGGCGTACCTTGTAGATGGCGTCGATCTCGTTGGCGACGTGCTCGAAGCAGTCCATGAACTTGTCGTGGCGCTCCTTCTTCACCTGCTCGCGAAACGTTACAACACTTTACAAACAGTTCGTATAAAACATTTCATTTAGTATTGGAAAAAATATTCAAAATAAATAATAAATGTGAAAATGCTTGTAATTATTTAAAAACAAACAATTTTGTTTTTCCTTTGAGTGTCCCCGACAAAAGTTTAGGTATTTATTATCGATTGAGGCACTACGAAGTCTGCCGGGTCAGCTAGCATACACTAAAAATAAATTGAGATAAAAAAAACGCACCTTCTCGAAGGCGAGCTTGGCGCGGTGCGCGCGCTTCCTCGCCGCCACGAAGGCCTCGTTGGTAGCGTTCACCTTCTCCCGCACCTCCGTCAGCTTCTGCATGGCCTGGGGACACACGGGGCGCTGGTTACTGCCGCCGACCCAGCCCCGGTGCTGCGGCCCGGTTAGTGGGGCGGGGCTGCCGTCGTACTGCACAGTTGAGACTCCAACCGACCCAACGTATACGTCTATGGGTCTCTGAGTGACCACTTAACGCACGTGGACGTGAGTTGTACAGAGTCGTGGTGTACCCGCATGTTGGGCGCCTGGATCTTGTCGACGGTCGTCTGCAGGGAGTTGATCGCCTTCTGCAGCTTGTCCGCGCGGCGCCGGACCTCGTCGGCCTCCTCCAGGTCGCGCAGGCTGTCCGACAGCATGCTGTAGTCCACACGAATCCTGAAAGCATCGGGCCACGTTATTGACACTAATGACCGCTAGTTTTTTGCAGACCAGGGTTAGCCGGTCCGCCTCCGCTTTGAAACACAACTTTCAAAATGTTGTTTGCACGCAATGTAAGTTAAAATATATTGAAGCGCGAGGTCATCGACCTCGCAGAGTACCTTCGGAGTACATTGCGGGTTGTTAGAATCAAATCCAAAGTACCTGGATTCCTTCCTGTACTGCTGCGTGGTGGACATGGAGGAGGGGTCGGACTCCGTGTCGGCCGTGTCGTCTAGGCTACCCTCCAATAAGGGTATTATTATGTCATCGATCTAAAAAAAGGTTTGTGTTAATTTTAATATAGTTTGAATTGTACCAAGGTCATATGAATATATTTAAAAGTATTTGTAATTGAAACTCGTGTTTATCATAAACAAATGCCTATTCATCTCCAGCGGGCGCCAGGACATTGGAACTAGCAATCAGAAGTGCGATTTTTTTTAATGTAAGATTCTATTGAAATCCTAATTATTAGCGGGGGGCGGGTACCTTGCACTGCCGCAGTATGTTGTGTCGCTCGCTGCGCTTGCTCTCGATGCGCGCCTCGATGCTGGCCATCTGCTTCTGGACGCTCTGGATGTCCTTCTGGATGCTGGACACCTCTTTCCGCGCCTGCAATACAGTAGAGTGCAGTGCCGCGTGCGGTGGGGTCGGGGCCGCACCTTGCGCCGGCGGGCAGTACCTTGTTGACGTCCTCCTCCGCCTTCTCGAGGTGCGTGCGCGCGGCGGCCCGGTCCGCCTTGAGCGTGTCGGCGCGGCGCAGCTCGTGGTCGATGTCGGCGCGCTGCTTGGCCTCCGCCTGGCGCCCGCCCTCCAGCTCGTCCTCGGCGTCCTGCACCGCGCGCTCCCACCGCGTCACGTTCTCTGGGGGTGGACGGGTGTGTTAGGGGGGGGCCGCTTCGGGGACCGGGGGGTCGGGGCTATACGTACTCTGCGTGTCCCGGGATCGCTCGAACTCCAGGTTGGAGGCGACCCTGTCGATTTGCGCTTCAAACTCCATCCGCCGCTTGGCGCGCTCCTGCTGGGCGCGCAGCTCGCGCTCCTCGTACTGTCTGCGGACGCATGCAGCAGAATGGGCCGATCATTACTGCACTGAACAGTACGGAGCACTTTGCTGTAGAGGAGGGAGGGTCGCCCCGCCCGCAGAGCCTACTCTTCAAACATAACGTCCTGTCTACGTAAGGCAGTATTGATGTTTAATACTCACTTGGAGGCGACAGGACATAGGACAGGTATACTATCTTTGAAATTGAAATACATAACCAACTTATGACAGGAAAAACCAAGATTAGGTTATTTTAATTATATATTTTTAGTTTTCATGAGATCTAAACATAGTTAAAACTATTATTACAATTGAATGTTAGCTACCGTCTAATTTTTAATAAAAATAATTTCTCGATAGTTAAGTAAGTGTCATTAAAATATTGTAATGTCAACCGTTGGTCGATATAATCATTCGATCGAAAGATCAATAGAAATATTGTATTACGCGAGACCAAACTATAAACTTATTTATAATTATATTGTACTGTTGCCCGGTTGTACCCGGTTTAATGGAAGAGTTCTTGACAGTAAAGTTTTGTGTCGTGAATGTTAAACTATTTTTTTATTTACGTTTTACAAAATGTACATTGCGCGCAATGTAATACAAACACAGATAGAGTTGTCGACCTCCGGCGCCGGTTCGGACGGTACCATTAGCCACCTTTGTCTAAGTACAAATTAATTTTACTACTTCAACTAGTCAGTGCTCGTCCGACCTCGTGTACCCCGGCGCAGTCGCCTCACTGCACACAAGAGAAGTACACCGTTTGGAGAGCGGTCGAGGAGGTAACGCTGTTTCGTCTCTGCGTATTTTTTAATGGCCTAGATCATAAATCCGTTTCATCCCCAGCCCGACTCGACTGTCCGCTCTGCGGGGAAGCTGCGTGGCGGGCGAAGGGTGGGGGTGGGGGTGGGGGGCCGCGCGGGGGGTAGGGGGCGGGCACGCACCGGATGTTGGCGACGCCGATGTCCCGACAGAACGCCTTGAACACGACGTCCTCCACGTTGTTCATGTTCTCCTTCACCTCCTGGATCTTGGCGTCGCGCAGCCGGATGGTGCGCTCGATCTCTTCGATCTGAGGCTGCGCGGAAACACTAACGATTAGCTTACGGTCAACTTTCACGAGGATGACCGTATTGTTTGAGCTATAATCATTTTATTTTTTTATAAACATTCAAAGTTATTTTTATTTTAATTTACAAGAAAAAGACTTAAATCTATATAAAAAATCTATAAACATTAACATGTTAAAACGAAGAACACCCTGTATCCAATGTTGATGCCCATGTTCAAGTCCGCCATACATATTTATTAGACGGCATTATTTCAGTATTTACTTGTATTGTCATTGTGAGTGACGCCATCTGTCGTCACATAGCAGAAATGTATACCAAAAGGACTAGTACTATCGGAATGTTCTGGAAATTTTTAGACATGCCGTGTCCATTACACGACATGAAACCGTCAGTGGCAGCCCTACTCGAGGGGAAAACCTGAAGTGAATTATGATATTGAAAATTACCTTAAGGGTCGTAAGTCATTAAATAGGGTCTTAATTAAAGCTTCGGCGATAGGTTTTATGAATCCCGAAACCAACGCGTATCAATTTATAATTCTATAGGTATTATAAATAATGGAATGTAAAGTATCATATGATTTGTGATCTCACCCCAAAAGTTTCCATCTTTCGCTCCAGCTCAACGATCTCAGCATCCAACGTCTTAATTTGTTTTAACTGCAATTAGAAATCCATGTTACTGTTTACCGCAAGGAATGTGTGTGAGTGAACGAATGAATGAACCAGAGAGTGAATAAATTAATTAATCATTAAACAACTGTTGATTAGGTCACTAACTTATTTACTGAAGTGAATCTATACTAATATTATAAAACGGAAGAGTTTGTTTGTTTGAATGCGCTAATTTCAAGACCTACTAGTCCGATTTGAAAAATTCTTTCAGTGTTAGATAGCCCATTTATTGAGGAAGGCTATAGGCTATAGACCAATACAAGCGGAGCACCAATAAGGAATGTTTCAAAATAGGGGTTTAAATAGCTTCCTTAACATTCTATAATTCAAAAATATTTTTACTTTCTTCTTCTTCTTCGTAAATGGAGCGGGTGGTAATATTTAGCGTTATGCCAAAGTAACTATTCCACGCGGACGGAGTCGCGGGCAAAAGCTTGTTATTAAATAACTGAACAATATGTAGTAATATGTTCTGCTTGAAGCCTTTCCGTAGCAAGGTAGTGAGGTGCGCGTAGACTCACGGTGGTGTCCCTGTCGGTGACGGCGTACTTGAGTCTGGACTCGAGCCCCCGGATCTGCGAGTCCACGGTGGTCAGCTCCGACTCCTTGCGGGACTTCTTCATCGACTCCCGGAGCTCTTCTGTTAGCTTCTCCTGGTAATTCCAACATATATTTATTACTTGTTAACGTTGCCTCGAGCTGTGCAGCGAAGAATTGTAGCATCGGTAACAAGAAATCAGCTTACCTTTTTAGCTTTAAGCTGTGAAAGATGCTTCTCGTCCCATCGTTTAGCTTTCCTCGCCAGATCCAACGAGCCCCCCGATATGATGCCAGACTTCTGGTAGAACGTGCCGTCCAGCGCCAGCGCCTGTGAACAGACACGTCCGGTGTGAAGAGCCGTGTGAGCCGGCCACTGGAGCCACCTTGAGACATGAGGTCGAAGTTGAGTTGTATTGTGTAATGCTTGAGATATGTTTCATCTGCAACCGGGACCCATGGTTGCACAAATAGGCAGAGCGGTTGTACTTCCACGGTGAAGGAATAACATCGTGTAATAAAAATGAAACCCGAAAAATTATAATTCAAAATCGTCCACCCATCTAAGCAATATAAAAATAATAAAAAAATGTTTAATATCTCAACTGCAACCGGAACTCATGGTTGCTTCGTGGCACAAATAGGCAGAGCGGTCGTGTCCGTGCGGGCTCCCAGTAACTGTCGGACGAGTGCGTCGCTGTCCCGGGGCTCGTGCTACTAACATCGTATCTGCTGTTCTTGTTCCGGTCGAGGTCGTAGGCGACGCGCGACGCGTCCTCGGGGGTCTCGCACACGAGCGCGTTGTTGGTGACGAAGAGCACGGCGCGGTGGATGGCGGCCGGCTCGAAGCGGAGCACGTCGAACAGCAGCTTCACGTTCTTGGGCTCCTTTATGTCTCTGCCAACACCACGACCACTCACACCGGTACACTTTTTTTTAAGGAATTTTATGACCCGGTAACTAAGACCTTTAGGTCATGTCTTATTTTAATTTATATTCTTATTTATATTGAAAAATGATAATATGAAATTAAATGAAATGACATGAGATGATAAGGGATGAAATATAATCTCAGTAAAATGGTGGCCATTTACTGAGATTTTTTCAGTGGATTTTTTGGAGGATCCTGGGAAGTAATGTCTTGCGGCTTTGTTTCATTTTCCCACATTAGTGCACTTTCACAGATATTAAACAGTTAATAAACCACCGTTAATACACATTTAAACCTGAAGAAAAACTAAATAGACAAAATAAAACAAATCACACTTCACTCCTCACGTTCCCGCCAAAAAGTTTCACCCCGGTACAGCATCAAACTCGGACCACGACAAACTAAACTAATCGCAATAGTGATGAGGATCGTCTTACGAAATAGCGCAAACTAAAGAAATGAACATGATATTTGACACGCCAATCGGTCTTCGTGTTTGGCATGACAGAGGAAAGTAACATCAAACAAAACAATAAGCCTTGTGATTCCTGTAGCTCCGGGAAGCGGTTCCAGGTCTTAGACGCACATCAGAGACCTAGATGGGCAAGTTCTGTATCCAAGAGCATTTCGCATACACTAATTAATGAAAATCATTACAATAATGTGGAGTAAGACTAATTAAAAATAATCTTCAAAATAATAAGCGCGTGTGGGGGTGGACTGATGGTTGTGTCACTTCCAGTAGATCTGCGCACTGACCTCAGTCTCTCCCGAAGCGGTTTGGCCTGTATGTAGTCCAGGGGGAGGAAAGTCTCCGGTTCCAGCATTCGTTCTTTCAGCACCTAAACCAAATAAAACAATTACAATCATCTTATTATACAACTAGCGGCCCGCTCCGGCTCCGCTCGGGTCTTTAACAAAATTTTCAAGGATATTTAACGTTGTTTTATTTTTTTAAATAAAGGAACACTTATTGCGGCATAACTATAATAGTTTGTGTTCTACAAAGTCGTTGTACATTATTTTATTCTATCATCAATAGTTTTCGCAGGGCACGCGATGTAAAGAATCTTTTAGGTAATTTTTTTACACCTTGTGTTCGCGACGGACATGAATAAATATAAGATTAGAATAGATATTGTTCGCGACGGACATAGATAGTGTTAAAAATAGTTATAGAAAATGTCCGTAATAAATAGTTGTGTTAGAAAATAGTTAAAATAGAGAATAAATAGTTATAAATGTCCGTAAATAGATAGTATGTGAAAAATAGCTGTGAAATAAATAGAGATAATGTAAATAGGAATAGTTAAACATGAAAATAAGTAATTTGTTATATTTTGTTTGTAAATAAAGATTGGTCCTCGTGGTCTTTAATTTGGCGTGGGAACGCAGGAGCGAGTCACAATACGGGCGACTAATAGAGCGACTAGGCAAACAATAGGCGAGCGAGGCGGCCGAGAGAACAATAGACGCCCACCGTGCTCGGACTCATAATAGCGCTGGCCGAGTGCGCGTGGGCGACCATAAATAGGGGGCCTACCTCGCTGCAAATTCAGTTCGAGACAGCGAGCCGACGAGTCAAGACCTCTCCAGAAGAAGAGGAGAGCGCCAACCAAACAAGAAGAGACTCGCTCCTACGCCCTGCGCCGGTCAAGCCACGAGGACCGTGTGAACGCCATACTGAAGCCTTCGTTATTTTCCTCGAACCAATCCCAGCACCCGTTCCGCGACAGCCACTGCGGCAATACTCGAGCCACCACGTTTCAACGAGAGTAAGAAGTCTAAAAATCACACGTGGTGGCCGAAACCTGAGCGGTGGCCGTCCGGAATACCTTGGGTTACATTCTTGGAGTTTTAGTAAGGATTCCGAATTTTGTTTCAAAAAAGATTATAACCTATGTCACTCGGGAATAGTGTAGCTTTCAAATAGTGAAAGAAATTTTCAAATCGGTTCAGTAGTTTCGGAGCCTATTCAATACAAACAAACAAATCTTTCCTCTTTATAATTATAATATTAGTATAGATGAACGTTAACAATGACACAAGTGCATCACTCATTCAGTGCAACCACTGCCCCGGCAAGCCCTGAGTGACTTGGCATACGTGCTTCATACTAACGATTCCCACTAAAATTGTTCAGTAAGCAAATATATACACTTTATCGGTCTCTGTGAGACAGTCCCATTGACAATCCCATTGTTACTCTGTTGCCGTAAATGTTAGACAACATTACTTATGCTGGAGTATCAACACATCACATCACTGAATCAGTACAGGGCTTTTTTTTTATTGCTTAGATGGGTGGGCGACTTCACAGTCCACCTGGTGTTAAGTAGTTACTGGAGCCTATAGACATTTACAACAAAATGCGCCACCCACCTAATATACCTTCCGGACCCTTCAAACCGAAACGCATTACTGCTTCACGGCAGAAATAGGCAAGGTGGTGGTACCTACCCGCGCGGACTCACAAGAGGTCCTACCACCAGTAAACCACGAGTCTTACTGATGGAGCTACAGATACTCTGAATCACCACGTTTTCCTGAGACAAACCTGGATACACCTCCGAGCTGTCTTCTCTGTGTCCACCACGATAGCTTCCATGTACTTCCCGAGGACCTTGGTGATGGCCACGTTGTACCTTTTGTGGGTCGGCTGGCACATGTTGATCATTCTGTCATACTGCGGAAATATAATACATTCAAGCTGCAGTCGCGTTAAGTAGATGAGAGAGTGGATGGCAACTGAATCGATAATAATTATTGAAACTCTCAACAAATATTTTGAAAGTGGAGCACACACACTACAAAGGTTTGTACTGTAATGAGGGTAGTTGGTACTCACAACCCCGGGGATGTCTCGCTTGAAGCTCTCGACGATCTCCTGCTTCTTCCTGCGGCGCGCCTCCTCGTGCTTGTCCACGCGCGCGTCGCCCAGCTGCGCCGCCACGTCCTCCAGCTGCGTCTGCAGGCTGGCGGCCCGCCCGCGGCACGAACCCACGTCCGCCTGGAACACACTCATACTAGCATCCTGGCAATCTCTGCCACAAGGCGGCTTAGTCCTGAAGTCCATGGACGACAGTAACCACTCACCATCATGGGAGCCGTATGTCGTCTGCATATAAGGGCAATAAAAAAAAAGCAGTCCCACGCTCAAATTATTGATAGTAAGTCATGAGAATGCCGTCGCTCATGAGTCATGATGGTAAGACATACAGCTGAGGAATCTGCTTAAGCCTTACTCTAGTTTGAAGTATATAATAACCATTATGTTATTGAAATCTTTGCCCCAAAGTGGACATCAGCATTGATATTTCTATGGATAACCACTCAACACGAGATGGTACCAACAGAGGCAATAGAGAATGACTTTTATATGTTTAGGACAACATCTGGTTTACCTGTAACTCAGCTCGTAGTCTCCTCTGTTCCTCAAGAGCCTGTTCCGAACTCTTGATGTGTTCATTTAGTTTGTCCACTCTCTTCACAGCTTCGTTTCTCTCGTGCCCCTGGATTACCAAACAACATTACACACATCATCAACCTATAGTAGTCCACTGCTGGACATAGGCCTCTCCAATTGCTCGCCACTGAGCACGATCCTTGGCTTCTCTCATCCACAAATATATAAAAAAAAAACGTGAAAATATGGCACAATACCTTCTGCCGATGCTTGTTTTCCAGCTCTCCCTTCTTCCTCAGCTCATTGTCCAGACGATCCTGGTCTGCCTTCTGTTCCCTATTCACGGAATCCAGTNAGTAGTCCACTGCTGGACATAGGCCTCTCCAATTGCTCGCCACTGAGCACGATCCTTGGCTTCTCTCATCCACAAATATATAAAAAAAAAACGTGAAAATATGGCACAATACCTTCTGCCGATGCTTGTTTTCCAGCTCTCCCTTCTTCCTCAGCTCATTGTCCAGACGATCCTGGTCTGCCTTCTGTTCCCTATTCACGGAATCCAGTTCCTGGAGGTAGCGAGCTGCCTGACGGGATGCTTCCATCTTCAGCTCTTCATATTCACGGATCTACTCAAATGATTTATAAAAATTTAGTAGATTGTTTGTTATGTGGATCGGTTACAGTTGAAATCAAGCTCAATATGCTTTCATTATTATCTTGAGATGAAGTCAAATCTTAATTCTATTTCCTTTGGCTTTCCTTCCAACTGGGATCGTTATTGCAATTGGATTAGGCGGGTTGGTGGTCACAAAGCATGTAGAAACTCATTAATGCAAAGAATGAATCTGCAGAATGAGACTAATTCAGATTCTGAAGTCGTCGTGGCCTAAAGGATAAGACTACGGTGCATTCGTGTTGAGCGATGCACCGGTGTTCGAATCCCAGTCGGGTACCAAAATTTCTAATGAAACACGTACTCAACAAATGTTCATGATTGACTTCCACAGTGAAGGAATAACAACCCGCAAAATTAAAATTTCCGTCTCAGGTGGTTAAAGATCTCGAGTCCGTACGTAGGTAGTAGGTAGGTACGTGGTAGGTACCACCGCCCTGCCTATTTCTACCGTGATATAGTAATGCGTTTCGGTTTGAAGGGTGGGGCAGCCGTTGTAAATATGCTGAGACCTTAGAACTCATACCTCAAGGTGGGTGGCCACATTTACGTTTTAGATGTCTATGGGCTCCAGTAACCACTACACACCATTAAAGCAATAAATAAATAAAAAAGTTTACACGAAATAACCAAACCTGGGCCTCCTCCAAATGTACATCAGCCTTCCCACTGTGACCGGTACCACTAGCTGTTTCCCATGTTGCCTTTTGCTGCTCCAAGGTTCTAAGCTCCTCCTCCAAAGTCCTGATGTCATCCTGATGGGCCTCATGAGCTTTCCGCGCTTGTTCTAATGTCTTTTGAGCACTTTCAAGCTTCTTCTGAGTGTGAGTGACTCGTTCTTTTGCTTTTATGAAGGTTGGTCGTTTTTTTGAAATCTCCGCTTCCTAAAATACACATGGAAAGTATTGAAGTTTATTTCTAGGAAACATACTTCAGCTTTTGCAGTATTTTTGATTCGAAATCATAATCGACTATAGAGACAATGGTGTCTAATTTTTGGCATGATAAAAAGCTTTAAACTAATTGCGATTTATATTTTTGGCAGAATTTAATGGCTTGGCAATGCCCCAATACCACAGTAGCACCTCACCATCGGGTGAGCTTACAGCGGTATACTTGTCTTTAATGACGATACACCAATCTTATATTTAATTTTTTATTGCCTTTGTAGCCAGCTGAGCGAGCATACTTTTACTGTTACACCAATCAAAACAAACAATATCATATATTTAATTGAAGACAATGAATGGTTCAATAAATTCATTAAATACCTTATCACCCAATTTACTTAAATTACCTTCTTCTCTTGAGGTGGATGAATAAAAAATTACTGTTTTGACATAAAATAAATCAATAATCCTCACTCACCACTTCCCTAATGTCCTGTTCAATCTTTGCGAGCTCTCTCTGTACGGTTCCGGCTTCTTTTTTCTTTTCCTTTAATGCTTCTTCAGCCTTCTGTCTTTTCTTCTCTATTTTTGCTAATTCTTGTTGTTTGTGTTGCAAATCTTCTTCATAAGCCTGGATCTCTCTCTCGTTGTGATACAGATGGAAAAGTTGAAGTTCCACTTTTTGCTCTTGCTTAAATGGTAAAATATTTATTTTTATAATTTATTTTTTGTATGTCGATGGTGTGAATGAGGGCGTATGTGCTTTAATGATCAAAGTGAACCATGTAAATGAGTCTTGGGTGAGTCTGGAGTAAACTGGTGGAGATAAAACTGGTGAATTTTGCTCCAGTTAGAGGGATACAAATATAAACTGAAGAGGTTGGTATAATTATAGTTTAATTCATTGCTGTTTTCATTAAAATATACTCACAAACATGATTGCAATGCTTCCACATTTTTGTAATATGTAGTTTAATAGTTTAATTCTTACCAATTCTTGCTTAAGCCTTGTGTATTTCTCCGCTTCTTCCTTCTCAAACTTTGCTTCTTTCCTCTCAGCTGCCACTCCCTTCTTTTTCTGATAAGAGAATTGAGCCTCCTCATCAGCTCGGTTTACTTCAGCACGGCAAGCTTCATACTGTTCCTTTAACACTCCAGACCTACATATTAAATATTATATGTAATTAAATAAAACATATACTGCTACTAGTTTAGAGGATGCAGAATTTACTGTACGGTCGGGTGGTACTATTGGATGGTAGTATGCAATGTTAATTTCCTCTAATTGTATTGTTTGATTTGAGTGAGGGAGCAAATAAGTTTGGATTTACATAATGTAGAGAACATTATAGTATTGAAACTTTGATTAAAACTATGTCTTTTAGGTAATCTTTTATCTATTGTAAAAGACTAACGAAGTTTGTGATATAAATTATGATCATGATGGTGACAACACTTAGAAAAATATGTTACCCGCTGATTTCCTCAAACAGAGTAGTCCTTTCTTTAGGATTCTTCATGGCAATGCTCTCGACGGCACCCTGGAAGACTAGGAAGTTCTTGGCTTTCACATTGATGCCCAATTTCTCTAGTTCACCAAGATAGTTACTTACTGATACAGACTGTTAAAAAAAGGATTCATTTATTTCATACACATAGCGCATCTGATCAGATGTGAATATACTGTACATATGGGAGTGCTGGTATGCCTGAACATGAAGTTGCTTTGCAATAAAAAGCCAATCAGGTGATGTCCATAACCTATGATTTCATATTACAAAGAGAGCTTCACTTCAGATTAGTTTCATCATCTTTTTTTTTAGGTTAAATAAGGCTAAGGCACAGGCTCAGGGCTTATCTAGTGTGAAGTATCTAGAAATCATATTCATCACAACCATTCTGGTTTACCATTGCTTTAATCACTTGANAAGTTGCTTTGCAATAAAAAGCCAATCAGGTGATGTCCATAACCTATGATTTCATATTACAAAGAGAGCTTCACTTCAGATTAGTTTCATCATCTTTTTTTTTAGGTTAAATAAGGCTAAGGCACAGGCTCAGGGCTTATCTAGTGTGAAGTATCTAGAAATCATATTCATCACAACCATTCTGGTTTACCATTGCTTTAATCACTTGAGACATTCTACTGGTTTTCATTTCTACTGGTGGTAGGACCACTTGTGAGTCCGCGCGGGTGGGTACCATCACCCTGCCTATTTCTGCCGTGAAGCAGTAATGCGTTTCGGTTTGAAGTGTGGGGCAACTGTTGTAACTACCAAGGTGGGTGGCGCATTTACGTTGTGGATGTCTATGGGCTCCAGTAACCACTTAACACCAGGTGGGCTGTCAGCTCGTCCATCCATCTAAGCAATAAAAAAAAAACATAAAATTAAAGTCATATTATAGGGCTGTCCCCCTTTCAAATGAGAGAGCATGGCTGCTTCGTGGCAAAAATAAGCAATGAGAAGCCTAATACATGGTGGCCCACCCTTCACCTGCATTCTATGGGGTAGATCACCAGTAATCCTTGTTATTCAACTTAACATAAAACAGGAACTTGTTACAAAAATCACAATCTTTTACCTGGCCATCAATTTTATGTTCAGACGATTGTCCAATCACTGATCTCTGGAAATGTTTCTCAGTCATGTCTTCCAGAACAAACGTTGCCGTAACAGATGCACTGGAATAAATTCATGGTTAAATGGATCAAGACATTAACATTTTTAACTATACTGAGACCTTGGAACTGATATCTCAAGGTGGGTGGCAGCATTTACGCTGTACATGTCTATGGGCTCTGGTAACCACTTCACACCAGGTGGGCCGTGTGCTCGTCCACCCACCTAAGCAATGAAAAAAGAAAAAGTAACCTATATTGAGAAATCAATTATTATTCAGAGTAGTTGGGTAGTCTTTCTATAAATTGTGATTTATTAATTGAAAATTATTAAATTAAAAAAATTCTATCTTATAATTGTTCATACAACACAGAAGTCTACAGCACAAGTTTGGTTTAAAATAATTATTCTAAAAAATATAACTTTTGAACATTTTGAAAAAAATATACAATGATCTTGTTATCAAGTGGAAAGAAGAATTCACCTTCGAGAAACAGGTTTGTTGATTGAAGCACCATGGATCAAGTCACTCAACCTCTTCACACGCAACAATGATGTCTTCTCACCCATCACAAAGCTCACAGCGTCCATGAAGTTGGACTTTCCTTTTAAGAAATGTAAATTTTAAGTTATTTGTTATAACAGTGGTCTAATGGATTTTTTTTTACAATTTCACAAAAAAGCAGTATTAACAAAGAAGTTCCCTCGTAATTGTTTTTAGCAAAGCAGGAAACTTGTTCTTTTAATTGGTGACAATACTACTATTCATAAAGCAACTTCTGTTTGTTGGAAAAGCGAGGGAAACGTTTTGAACACGACGCCTTAATGTATTTCAATTTTTGTTGAAAATGAAATCGGTGTTCGCTCTATAGCATGAAAATAATAATATTAAGAAACGGTTAAAAGATAGACTATGGGAAAAATGTAAGGTTTTCTTAGGTCATTAGTACCTGATCCATTAGGGCCAACAACAGCGGTAAAAGACTTCAGAGGACCTATGCGGTGATGTCCTCTATAGGTCTTGAAATTTTCCATATCGATATATTTAAGAAACGCAGGCATCTTGATTAAGACTAACTCCCATGCAATACTGTAATGCTTTTAATTCACAACACAAATTAACAAGCGCCAAACATAATCACGAATTGTTTGTACAAATGTCAAAGTGAAACTCAATTTGACACTAGCTTATTTGACAGTATTAGTTTTCCATTTTTCCAACATGAACAGCGAGGGTATCACACAATACAGCGTAATTTTTACATAATATATTTCCCATTTAAATGAAAGTGAATATTATGTAGTGAAAAATGATTTGAATGAAATGAAATGAAGTTGATTTATTTGAAATCGTAATCAATTGGGATGATATTAAGTGAAACTAGATAATGTGAATAAATTCTCAATAAAATGGTGGCTATTTTATAAGACTGCAGTAGACTTTTTGGAAGAACCCAAAAGCCTTGTTCAGTAACGTCCAGCAGCTTTTCGGTTTTGTTTCATTTTCTAACATTTATGCACTAAGCAAATAATAAACCACCGCTATTACACGTTTAAACCTGAAGAAACCCGACATTAACAAAATAAAACAATTGCTACAGCTTTGCTTTTCGCGTGCCTGCCAAAAAAGGACTACACGAACGTTTTATTGAGTAATAAAACGTTAAAAAGATATATTGCAAGACACTGGCATATATTGCTGAGATCATGGACTGATTGCCAGAAAATATACATTTTGTAGATAGACTTATTCTAAATAATAAAATGTATTAAAAATTAAGTTATAGTTAAGTATTTTGACGCCTATAATTCCATATAACGCCAATATCTTCCGTAGCATCAACTCAACTACAACAGCATCGTATACTAAAAGCGATATTTTTTTTATTACTTAGATGGGTGTACAACCTCACAGCCCACCTGGTGTTAAGTGGTTACTGGAGTCCATAGACATCTACAACGTAAATGCGCCACCCACCTTGAAATATAAGTTCTAAGGTATCAGTATAGTTATGACGGCTGCCCCACCCTTCAAACCGAAATGCATTACTGCTCTACGGCAAAAATAGACAGGGTGGTGGTATTTACCCGCGCAGACTCACAAGAGGTCCTACCCCCAGTAATAAATACTACTCGACCGAGAATCAAAAACGAAGATTATTTGGCGGTAGCGTGAACGTTGTTGTGAAGTTTAGCATAGATAACACCTCAAAAATAATCAACTGGGATGAAATTAAATGAAATGAGATGAAATGATATGGGATGAAATATAACCTCAGTAAAATAGTGGTCATTTAATGATATTTTTTCAGTGGACTTTTGGAGGATCCCGAGAAGTTACGTTCAGCGGCTTTCTTCATTTTCCCACACTTGTGCACTTTCACAAATATCAAACAGTTAATAAACCACTGTTATTACACATTTAATCCTGAAGAAACACTAAATAGACAAAATAACACAAGTCATACAACTTCACTCCTCGCGTTCCCGCCAAAAAGTCCTAACACCTCTAAAGATTTTTAGTTACCTATCTAATAAAGATAGCACCTAGCATAGATAATACACTTAGTACCTGCGGTAAACGTCATTGCAATCCATTTGCAAACTAATAGAATAGTAGGTACAGTAATAAAATAACAAAGATTTGCTTTAATAGCCCTGTTCTAATATCTAATAATTTGTTCCCAGTTCTTGTACGTAAAAACATTTTTGTTCCATAACTCCTTTTTAATTCTCGTAAATTGTCTGTAATTTGTGTTTGTGATGAACGAGAATCACACGAGAAGCCCGTCTAGCCCTTTGGATATTATTGATCAAGAGCAGGCCGTGCTGATGGATCCTATTGACCACGACCGCTGTCGATATCCGTACTGTATTGTTTGGACTCCTATACCTGTTTTAACGTGAGTATTATCATTAAAAATATGATTAATCTTTTACTGCTGTATATTAACACTTCTTGTAAGTCCCAAATTTTGTTATAGATATCAATTAAATTACATTTTTCTCTAATAATTGAACAGTATTTTGCAGATCGATGTTAGAAAGTCTTTCCTTATTTATTTGCTTAATTGTCAAGTATGTTTCACCTCTCTCTTTTTGGCGGTGACTGAGATACAATTTATTGGAATAAATTTGTCACTTATTTTTAAATATTCCTCTTTTCTTATATTTTATTTGAGTCGGCACAACAATTATTATAATAGTCTTCCCAATCAGTGTGTTCTCTGTGAACTCAGTGTCAATGAAGACATATTGTTGCATTGTAATACAGTGCAAAAAAAACAATTAAGTTTTAATCACTTTCCAACAAAATACAATTTACTTTTAAATTAAAAGCTTGTCACAATATCATAATCGTAATATCGTAAACAGTAAACAAAAATAATAATGACAGCAAAAATATTACGTCATCTACTTACCATGTAATCTATTACTACAGTCAAAACCGTTTACTGCGACATCGTTTAATACAACATGCTGGTTATAATAACCAAGAACAAAGGTCCTGGCTGAATGCCATATGACCGCCTTATTAAAAATATTGCTTTCTACGACATTGGTAATAACGACATACCTCATAAAACGACCACATTTAACTAATATTTCGGAGAATTAGATCTGTTAGAACGACCGGATAAGCTGTATTGTAAACAATTTGAATAGGTATCCACATTTGACTTCAATGGCTTTTAAAATCAAGAAAGAAAACAATAGGATTTAGTTTAGTGTAGGGTCTTTTCTGATTCTTAGAAACAAAACACGTGCATGCGGTAGTCAAAGCCCGCTTCTTCATATCTCTTCAGTTAGTTTGTTACTTATCTATACACAAGACGCACCAAAACTTTGTGGAGCTATTCGTGAAACTTTCAAAATGTCGCAAAGAAAAATAAAACAAATTAATATTGAAGAAAAATCGCGTATTATATAAAAATATTTTTCCAATAATTCCATATCGATTTGTTTGTACTTGCACGATACACATTAAACATCACCGGTTGTTACGACTATCGGTTTTTACGACTGAATATGAGCAGTCCCTTCGATGTCGTTATAACAGATTTTGACTGTATTTATATTTTTCATTTTCAATTTTAGATTTTTTAAAACTTTTTCACTATCAAGAGAGGACGAGCTGACGGCCCACCTTGTGTTAAATGGTGACTGGAGCTCATAGACACCTACGACATAAATGCCGCCATCTATCTCAAGATATAAGTTCTAATACTGCAACATAACACTCAAAAGTGATATTACAGTAATTTTTTCTTTAATTACCCTATAGATGGTTTTTCCCATTCCTTGGACATATGGGTATATCAACATCCAATGGAGTTATCAGAGATTTTGCTGGTCCATACTTTGTTTCTGAAGATTTGATGGCATTTGGAAACCCTACAAAATATTGGCAACTATCTCCTCAGAAAGCCAATAATGGACAGGCGGGATGGGATGCTGCAGTTGCAGAAGCGTCCGAAATATATAAAAAGCGAATGGTAAGTAATTATTTATATTTAACTTTAATGTTATCATAGAAATACTACACGTGTAGAACCTCGCATCTTAATTGAAGTTAATTATAATTTTAAACACTTTTAGCTTTTAGTACCCATCTGGTGGGCCCACCTGGTGCTGAGTAATTGCCGGAGTCCATAGACATCAACAATGTAAACGCCATCTTGTTCTTAATCCGAATTTTTATAGTAAAATTTCTGCTTGTATACACAACCGAAACCTGTTGCTGCTTTACAGCAGAAACAAGTAGAGTAGTGATACCTACTCAAATGGGCTCACAAGGCCTTACCATCATTAATCATGCAAATTATGATTTTGATTAGTTTGATTTTTATTACACAATGTCACTCCTTCACTCTGAACATCAATATTAAGAACATTTATATTAAGAATACTTATTAAGTATGTGAGTGAACAGTCGTATCGCTTGATACAAATGCAACAAGCGCTTTAGGCCACAACAACTTGGATATATTATTCAAACCAAAAAAGTACCAACTGATATTACTGATGACTTGAAGGAAGATTGCATGGGTCCATATAAAATTAGCCAATTTGTAATTACAGCATATAATATTTTACGACAACTGTCATTCTCATGTTGCCAAAGCATTAAACATCATGAACTATGGAGGAAGTCGGAATTGGAACATGGTTAAATTGGCCCTTTTTATGATACCATACTCTAAATATGTTAGGTGAGTACTACACCAGCTTTAACTATTCTGAAAATAATCTCTGTATTTATTGTTAATATTTAAGTTAAATCTGTTAACTATATGTATGTTAAAATTCATACCGTCTCACGTAATCTCCTCAAGTTGGAATTTGATATAGGTTCTGAAAACACTCAGACGACTGGTACATCAAAACCCTGACTACAAAATAAATTGGCCCAAAATATTAGATATAACTAGGAATTAAAACTAAATTGCAGAATCTATTATTGTCTATTATGTAATAAATATGACAATTTCAATGTGCTTGAACCTTTAAGAGTAATATTTTTTTTGTCCCTACTTAATCATTGGTAGCTCGAAGGGCTATTCCAACTACACATAGACTGGTAGTAATATAATATATTATGACATCGATACCTTAATAAAATAATTAATTTACAGTGTCGGAGGATTCCTCAAGACGTGGCTACCTTTCCTTGTGATCGTGGGCATCATTTGCGGGCTCGCTTATGTGATATAAACATTACATCGTAAAAGATGGGATTGAATAATGGGCTTGGATCTACTTGTCTTTCAATAGTATATATCTTCGCCTTTATAAGACTGTTAAAATACTTTCCTTAAAAAAAATATTTTTGTTGTATTTTTTAAAATGTATTTATTATTTTTGTGGATGTGAATATTTCACATAAAGTTATGACATTTTAGCTGGGGGCACGTGATACACCCACGCCACTCTGGCTTGTTCCTGTGTAAAGACACATTGGTGTCTCGTGACACATGGGTGTATCGTGGGTGTTCGTCGAATTTTCGAACAATTTGAGTCCAGTGCTAAAGAAATATTGATAGTACTCATTAATGTGAGTTGCAGTTTGAATTGTATACTAGTGGTATAAGGCTGTTCGCGACAAGTCGATAAGAACGTTCAAGCGAAGTGACGGTAGTCGACTCTTTGGTGTACAACAAAATTAAAAACTTAGGACACCGAACTGTATCTAACAAAATTATATTAAAGCGTCATGGAGGATGGTGCGAATTTTACGTTTCTGTTGTTGGGTGATTTTAATAATTATTCATAACGGCTTACTGGTTTTGATTCGAATTATATTCTGGACATAGTATTTTTGTTGTTTGTTAATTTTTTCTAATACTTTTTGGCTTATTGTCGTGTTTGAGAATTGTTTATATTTTTACGCGTGACGTATCAACAACCCACGTAATATTCAATGCGCAACCGATACAAATAAGGAAGCGAAGAATGCGCTGTGCGGATTGGCGGGACATCTTCCTCCACGACCCGTCTCATAGCCCAGTTGCCATGTCGACCTATCATGAACTTTAGTGGTTGACTTTTTGGCGGGAACATCAGGAGAGTAGTTATGTGAATTGTTGTTTAATTTGACTATGCTGAGATAATGCTGGCTTACTAACCAACAATGGTGAAAAATTCAAATTCACTTTTCGGTTTCTTTCAAAAAGTCCACCAAAGTCGCAGTAAATTCCAACTATCTTACAGGGACATTGTTGAATTTCATGTAATCATATCATCACTTTTCAACCGCCCGACTGCATAAAAAGGGATTTTCATAAGATGATGCATTAGGTTTTTTTCAAATTTAATTTTTTTGTTGGTATTTTTGTGGCCGTTAACACAATGTGCAATAATAGTGAATATAGTAGATTTTTCTAGTAGTTTAATTACCTACGCAAACTATGTTGTAGTTAAGTTACGCAATCGTTTTGTCAATATAAAACTAATAATGTGTACTTGATTCAGTAATTTTTAAGTCCGAAAATATTACAGTAGAAATGGAAATTGTCCGTTTCCAAACATACTCGTTTTTCTACGTATTTCAAGTCTAGGCGAGGCTTGACCGTACAGAAATCTTACCTTATAGCACACAAAACTATTCTAATTTTTTTTCTACCTATGCTGATAGCCTTGAGAGGCTATTTCAGCTTCGCCCTAACATGTAGGTGAGCTCACGGGGCTCAAACCGAAGTGTTGCTAACACTGGCCCTACCAAGAGCAGTGCTTCGCAAAATCTACCACCGGATCGGAAACGCGACCCACTGAGAAGATCCGGCGAGAAACTCAGTGGGTTGTGTCTGCGGGAAGATTCTCTGATGAGAACACTATTCGTTCGTCATGGCTTAAAGGGACGCTTGATGCATTCGTATCGAACGATGCGACGTTGTCAGTTTCTATCAGAACCCGATCCACTACCCTTACATAACCCCTTTTTGTGAACAATGATCCAGCTCACCACTTTTTCTCCGATTGGTAAAAGCCAGCAAACGGTGTGCTTAGTGCGAGTTTCTTAACGTTCTCGATAGCGTAAAAGTTAAGCTAATATTGTATGCAGTTGGAACAGCGCCCCTAGCGCCAGACGTACGCCAACAATCCAATTCCTTATATAGCATATTAGCTAACTTTTACGCTATCGAGAACGTTAAAAAACTCGCACTAAGCACACGGAAGAGCAGCGGGACTGTTCGCGCCTCTCGCTTCTAGCCCTCCCGCAGCCGACTCCCCCACGCGCTCCGTGATGCACTGCTGACTCGCTAGTATTTGGCAGAAAATCGTGGATTTTGTGTACTAAAAGAAAGATATTTTATCCCCGAAAGGCCAAGCGGAAGGTACACATTTTGCGCCAATGACTTGTCCTTCTTCAAACGAGGCTTATGGAGATTACTCAACGGTAGGCAGCGGGTTGACTTTGTCCGTAGCATTGTTGAAGTCCATGGGCGATATAACCATTCACCATCAGGTGCGCCGTAAGCTCGTGGGCCTACAAAGGCAATAAATAAAAAACACAAATAGTAAATTTAAAATATAGATAAATCAATTTATCAAGTTTATTCATGATGAATATTTCATTGTAGCCAACCAGCCACAGTAGTATCTCTATGTGCTGCTAGCAATACTGATTGTTTAATGTTTGAAAGCAATAAACCTATGTAATCTTCCTTCAGTGGCACGTAAAACTGTATTTGAGTCGTCTATTATCAAAGGTGCAATCTGTGCATTTGTACAAAAAAATGTGAGAATCGAACCTCGGTTTAGTAGTCAGGGGCGATAATTATGCACCACAGTCAGCCACATGTCTACTGTTTATGGCTAATTTCAATATACCCAATTGTTTTAAGCTAACAGTTGTGTTGAGAAGTCACTTTGACATGTAGATCTAATAACTGAGTCGTCTATTATCAAAGGTGGCAATCTGTGCATTTGGACAAAAAAAAATTATTGATATGTCAATACAGATTGAATGGAATATAATCGTCTCCTTCAAAGAATACGGTTCAAAACCTGCATTAAATAAAGGTTAATACTTAACCTGTTATTTATCTAAGATGTCGTTCAGAAGAGTTTTGTGACTGCCAATGGAATACAATGTCAATAATTCGTTTTTTTGATTTACCAAAAATTGTCCAAAAGTCACATTGCCGGCTTTGGTAATAGTCGACTCATTTGTAACTCAGAAACCATTCAGCAGATACATATAACTTTACAGGGTTCTTGTAGTGAATTGAAATATAAGTCACTCTTAATATTATTTCATATGCAAAAATTTATAATTTCTGTTGTTTTTTAATAAAATCCTTAGTTGGCCGTTTCCATTATTTACGTTTTTTTTAAATTCCGTAAACTGGAATATTTTTCTCAAGAACACACAAGTCTGAAAATACCTTCTTATTCAATTAAGCTATCATTGGTTATAAATTACCAGATGTTTAAATTATTCATAAAAAAGATAACTGTGCTTAAGCAGCTCCATTAGTAGCACAACTTAGGGTCGATTCGACCAAACAAGAGTAAATCTTATTCTTAGAATAACTCGTCAGTTAATCGAGAGTAAATCAATTTTACGTTTTACCAACTACAATTCTAAGAATAGTGGGCCTATTCGGGAATTGTTACTATACCGCCGTTTCGCACGGAATAACGGAGCTATTCCTAGAATAAAGTAATGGCGTCTGTCAGTCCAACATCTGATTTCTGTCATTTCATAAATATTTATTCTGTTTTAATTTCAAGTCAACGCAATGCACTAAATGATTATTAATAGTCTGAATGCAACGTTTAAACGAAAAAAGATAAAACCACACGACAAAACTTGACAATTCCCTCAAACAAACAAGAAATAAAAATAATACGTTTGACAGCTGGATATCTTACACAACAGCTACTTTTTCACACTAAAATACGGCAAAATCGAGTTGACGAATTGTATGCTCTTACACTATGCCGTTGAACAACATTTATTTGCCGGATTTTATTTTTGTTCACCATTCACTCTGCTATTCGCGTATTGTTATTCCTAGCGCAAGTATACGTGGAAAAACGACTATGAATTTACTCGAGATTAAAATCATGGAATAGGTTATTCCTCGTATAGTTACTCGAGTTTAAATTTAAGTTTGGTCGAATCCGCCCTTAAAACAGAAACTAAGGTTCCATTCTGCTAAATGAGAATAAATAATATCCAATAAAGAAATGAAATATTTATCATATTATTATAAAAAAGATCTATTTTACAAGATCAAACAGTAGGTTTATTTCACTAGGTGTTTCAATAAAGGTTATTTTTGTTTAACTTCAATTATCTTATAGTAGTACATCTCATATTATGCATGTGCAACACGAAACATTTTGAAAACAATAAAATGTTAAGATCTATCTACTTATTTACTGTATTGTATGTATTACGCAAGTGATATATAAAACATACTGCCTAGGGCACCGTGTACCTTTCTGTGGAAAGGTACACAAGTGTTCTAATTTGTATAGTCCCCGGCACGTAACTTGGCAAGAGTCGCTAGATGCGCAGAAGTCGTTTTTTAGGTTTCTTTGGTTGTCAAGCGGGATGCGGGGAAAGACGTAGCACCGTTCTGAGCGCGCGATTGGTGAGTCAGTCGACCCTCCCCTCCCGCACCGCGTTCCACGTTTCGTTCGCTCCCGGCTACACATGCGCCTACTAAAGTTGTAGGAACCCTATGTTTATATTGAGTTTTTGTTACAAGTTGTTATTATTGTTTTAAATTTAGTTTTTGTTACGAGTGTTATTGCTTTAAGTTTGATTGCAATGCCAGGACCAAAATGCCAATGACCATATAGTCGATTCAGTCACTGAGCGTTTTATTATTTACGCCAGTGACGACAGCGACTCTTCGTTATGTCGACGATGAGGAGCCAACTCCTTCCACCAGCTCAGGTGCTACCATAAATTTAATCCAAGGGGTAGCACTATTAGAAAATTATAGTGACGACGGCGACACATCATTTTTAATATTAAGTATATTTTTTAAATAAACTTCTTAACTTTTAATTGTATTATATTTATAACACCTAATACACTTCACGAATTCCTCTCTTTTCTTTAACTTTCTTCTCTAAACACATAGGCTTAAAAATAAATTATGGCAAATAAAAATTTTTATAAAATTAAATTAAATTATATGCGGGCAATAAAAGTGACCATTTTTTTGTTGCAATATGCACTATGAGCGACATTACCCCCACTACACCAAAACCTTGCCAACTTACGTGCCGCTTACTATAATGATATAAGTCAGGTTGCAGATATTAACTATTATATCAATTATATAATTACTTTATAGTTATTAAAATTAAATTTAAATAGAAGAAAAATAAATACTTACAATAATTATCATATTCTTATTTTATTTCAGAACTAGTACGAAGATACTTCAGATAATTATAAAGTTTGAATACAAAGTCTAAAGATAATATAAGGATAAATCCTTGTTTTTAAATAATTAATTATATTATATTACAATGTTTGCAGAATGTTGGTAAATTAAAAAATATCTCTTGTAATGCTTGATTTCATCAATTCATAAAGTCAAACTTACATACATACATAGCTACATCATGGTTTTTTAACATAATATTTTACAGACTGTTAAGTGATGAAGTTCTAAAATTTTAAGCTGAACAGCTAAATTAGATGATAAGTATGATGAAATTTTCAAGATTTTTCCTTGAAAAAATAAAAAATTAGGAAAAATCTTGTTGGAAACAAGTGTTATGATACAAAATATAGTATCATAACACTTGGTAGCAAACAAATTTCATCACAACCACTGCAAACATCCAAAGCACTTTTGAGATCATTTTGTTCATCAGGCTTTACAATTAAATTATCTTCATGGTGCCTACTGAACAATATCTCCTTCAAGATGTTTAAACAGAAATGATAGGCAATAGCCATATACCATCAGGTGTGCCATATGTTGCCAATGATTGTAATGGTTTTCTTTGTGGATGGATACATTATTTATCTGTAGATTGAATCAACTACACCAATAAAGTACATGTTTGAGGATAAATTGTATTAATTATCACAAAATGTTATTATTTCCACTGTTCGTTAGCACTCTTTTATAACACTTCTTTCAACAGAGAAATCATATTCATAATTGTTCATTGTGATTTTGTTAGTTAGGAAAGCTAGGAGATCACTAATTTCTCGCGCGTAAGAATCCTTGTTAGCAGACATTTGTAGTTCCTTTGACATCGAAAATGGGACTCCTTGAAGATAGTGAAACGGTTGCTCGGCTCTGGGCCTAGGCAGAGGTGCNTAGCACTCTTTTATAACACTTCTTTCAACAGAGAAATCATATTCATAATTGTTCATTGTGATTTTGTTAGTTAGGAAAGCTAGGAGATCACTAATTTCTCGCGCGTAAGAATCCTTGTTAGCAGACATTTGTAGTTCCTTTGACATCGAAAATGGGACTCCTTGAAGATAGTGAAACGGTTGCTCGGCTCTGGGCCTAGGCAGAGGTGCGGCTGGGGCAGGTCTTTGAGGATACGGACTTGATCCAGGCCCAACACTGGGGTAAATACTACCTCTTGGAGACGTAGGATCAACGACGACAAATCCATCGTCGGACTTCGGGCCAGGTATCGGCGGTGTCTCGTCTTCAACTGGTGATGATCTCCTTTTTCCGAAAAACGATGAAAACATTTTGTTAATGAATAATATATTTTACGTCATAAGATTTATTGAGTCGTTTGACTTATGACTCAATTTTTTGCAATTTATTTCTACTCCCTGCTCCCTGTCAAGTGTTAAATGTGTTATCTTTTTTTTATGATTTTATGATCTGGTAACTAAGACCTTTAGGTCATATCTTATTTTAATTTATATTCTTATTTTTATGAAAAATTATAATATGGAGTAAAATGAAATGAAGATGATTAATCAATGGGGATGAAATTAAATGAAATGATATGGGATGAAATATAAATTCAGCAAAATGTTGATGATTTACTGAGATTTTTTCAATGCACTTTTTGGAAAATTCCGAGAAGTTACGTCTACTAGGTTTTTTTCATTTTCGCACATGTGTGCTCTTTCACAGATATTAAGCAGTTAATAAGTCACCGTTATTACACATTTAAACCTGAAGAAACACTAAATAGACAAAATAAAACAAATCAAACGGGTTCACTCCTCGTGCACCCGCCAAAAAGTTCAATATTCGTTTCCTCTGCCCGTAGAGATGTCAATAAAGTTCGAAAAAGACTAAAGTTTGTAAATCGATATTGACGAATGAACAGAACTCTACAGAAAACCGAATTTAGATAAGAGCACATTAATAAAATATTGTAAAATTGTTCTGCCCGTACCTATTCGCTGGTAGCCTAAGAAGCTATTCCAGCTACGCCCGGATGGATGGTGAGCTCCCGGGTTCAATCTGAGAGAATTTGCTATTACTAGAACTAGAAAAAGCAATGCTTCGTATGATCTATCGCTGGATCGGAATCGCGACCCACAGAATATCCGGCGAGAATAGTGATCGTTGTCACTAATGACCTGGAGCGCCGCCATGTTGCCGTCTACCATTAAAATACTCTCCTGAAGGCTCGTTCGGAGGACGGCATGTTGTAGTATTCTAGACGACGTATCTTAAATTGGTTTATAAAAAATAGTTTCTGAAGTATGTCATATTTTCCAATTTTTTGGCATCTATTTCCAGATTACGGATCGATTTAAAGATCGATCGCCTTCGGTAAGAATTCATCTCCAGTGTTGCCGCTGGGCAAACATTGGGCTGCCGTACTGGAGAAAAAAATCTACCGTACTTAAACAAAAATTGCCGTACAAAGTAATTCAAAATTTCAAATTTCAATTAAAAGTATTTTATTATTTATTTTAGACTAGAAATTAGAACAGTATATATTTTTCACTCCTCTCTTCCCATCAAATCTGTATTATTGCCTAAAGTAAGTTCAGTTTCAATAATCTCATTTTTTTTCGTAATTTGATGGTTTTTTCATTTTATTGATCATACCCCCGAAGGGTTGGCTTAAAGTTCGCACTGTTTGGATGCTTTCTGACAATGCACTCTTTTGGTAATAATGTTCCATTTATATATGGTATATGTTAGGAGGCGGTTTCTTTGTTTTGTTCTGATTAGGTTTACTGCATTGAAGATTCTTTTTTATACACTATCTCACGTATCGCTACACTGCACTTTTTCAAAAGATAAAATTGCTAGCTCTAGCTACACTTGCTAGTACTAACAATGAAACAAGAGCGAGGCGGCGAGGCGACTTGAGGAGAGGACTTAAAGAGCAGGCGTTGTAGATTATAGGGAATTCCTCGTACCATACATGAAACATTGTCTATTATAAGAGCTGGATGTGTTCATGTTTACGCAAAAAGTATCCACGTCCTGTAATCTCTTTAGATACATTAATTGTTTTTTAACTTTATGCTCTTGTTAGCCGACTTAACCTAATAGGCATATGGCACTAAAAAAGAATAAAAAAATGCTCTTGTTGCCGTATTTTAGAATACGGCAATGACCACTCTGCCGTATGCCGTACAATTTGTCTTTTAGAAGCGTGATTGCCGTACGAAACGGCAATTGCCGTACATTTGGCAACGCTGTTCATCTCTAATATGCTTTTTTCTTGTTTGATGTAACCATATGAGAGGCAAGGGCATATAGTTTATACAGCCTAATTTCTTATAATTTGAAGCTGAAGCATGTCAACTGTACGAAATTGAAAATAGCGTAGAATATTAAGAAATTCATTGAAACTTGAAAGAATTATGATGAGTTTATGTGTTAGATAGACCAGAAATGAAATAGTCTTTAAAATATTGTTTGTCAAAATAATTATCAATCAATTTATTAAAAGTTCAAAGGACTTTTTGGATGAACAAAAGACGTAAAACGAAATACAGTGAATTCTTTTTCATTTTTTTATACCTGTTCACCTGTATGATTTAAACGAATATTATTTAATACGTAAAGACAATTTTGGAACACTTTGAATCCTTATGCAGTTCACATTAGATTTTTCGGGTTTCATCTCTTTTCATAAGTACGTAAGTTTTTATTTAATGACAATTTAAAGAAGTGTCCTTAAGCTTTAAAGTGCTAAAAAAAAAACACGTGTGGCACTCGGGGACTGCCACGGTAAAGCGGCATAGCATTTTTTATCATTTATGCAATTATAATTAGACAATAATAATTTAATATTAAAACAATCATAAAATAAGATCACGCTTAATTTATATACAATAACAAAAGTAAAACATTAACATTCACACTCATGAGCTAGACCACGCGAGAGAAAGATAGGCATACTTTTCATGATGCACATGCAATGCGACGTTACGTCGTGCGCTTACACAAACACTACATAAGCGCAACGTGTGGATGCGTTGAGCGCGAACTACATGGTAGGTGGAGTGGGGGTGTTAGGGTTATTTTCGTTACGGAATTTCTTGATTCAGTCGCTGAGGTCAAAGCCCGCTATAAAAGCTATTCAATAGCTGAATAATTTATATATACATAGCTTTACGGGTTTCGTCACCTCCAAAAAGTCTTTGCAAACAAACACTATTTTAGTTGCTTTTGGTTGCTTTGTTATTTGAAAGGAATTATTTGATGCGTATACAGCCTAAACCAAATAGTAGTTAATAACAAGTAAATAGTTTTCTAGTGTCCGTAAACATTGCTTTGCATAAATTAAATATTTGAACATATATAGTTAAATAAAACTTGGCCAAACTTAATTAGACTAAGAAAAAAGTTCCCGCCTGTTTTATTTTAATTCTTGTTGCCCTTGTAGGCAGACGAGCATACGGCCCACCTGATGGTGAGTGGTTACCGTCACCCATGGACCTCAGCAATGCCAGAATTTATGTGTTAAGTTTTTTTATGTATTATCCATATTCAATCAGGGCAGTTCTGTATTGATTTCAAACGATGGTTCTTATCACGGCTTGTGGTAAGAGCCGACAGTAAAAATCGTATCTTATATCATTACATGTGAAACGAAAACAAATGCTTCTTCTTCTTCCTAGCGTTTTCCTGGTCCAGTGCCAGAGAAACGAATAAAATAAATAAACTAAAGGAAACTTGAACCGAAAATAAAAACTAAATTGACAAAAGCATACAATTGACATAGGTTCACTCATCAAGTTCCCGCCAAAAGATTTCTCAATCACAGACTATGTGGCTGTACATAATAATCTTGAGGAAATTAATCAATTTTTCTCTGTTTGTCTGCAAACATATTGTAATCAAAAAACCATATTAGCCAATAAAGACGTCGACAAATAATCAATTTAATTTAAAGTTACCAATCATTGTCGTTCAGCTCTCCAAGAGCAAAGTGGAAGTAATTAGTACTCTGCAGACGAAAACAGACCTTAATTCTACACAAATGTCTTAAATGAAACGTCAAAACATAGTAATTAGGATTCTAGGTACTTTGTTTTGAAAGAATAATATTATGGGATTTCTTGCCTCAAAAGGTTCACAGTTGCTTCTAATTCAACATTATATACTTATTAACCTGAAAATGTACATAGAATTGTGATAAACAAATTTTATTGTTAGTGACTAGTTGTCAAACAACGTTTCTATTCGGAATCCAGCTGGTCTAAGCAAGGTATGTATGATTGTTTTTCAAATAAACACGTATCAAAAAATAAATAACTCACACGTTTAGAGGTCATCTTTTTTTTACGGATCGTTTAGTATAAATTTACATCCTGTTACCCGTTTGTTAACTATTGTCCATAATTATTAGTCAGTAATCTGTTTTTTACTGTTTCTGTTTAACTTTTGGAATTTATGAACTTTGTCATGGTTAGGTTATTATGAAATTTGCCAAAGAACAAAAAAGTTGGAAGCTAATTGTTGGGAGTTAATAAATAAAAATCAAGTGTCTGACACACATCTGTATCAATACTTTATTATGTAAATATTGTATGCATTACATATAAATTGTCTTTTGGTATTCATGCATTGGACCACAATTTAAATACAGAGCAAAAGAACTCATAATTGGTCAGATTGTTAGACTGACTGATTATGCACCACTACTCTGGGTACATCTACTGTGAAGTTATCGTTGTTTCTGGTAAAGGGTGTTAAATGCGAATAATGTACTAACTATAAAAACAACATAATTTGATGAAGCATCTATCACGGAGGTCTCAAATTGAGATCATATTTTTTGAGCTAAATTAGACCGTTGACTAATTAAGGTATATAGAAAGGTAGAATTTAGAGTATACAATGTATACAATGTACAATAATACAGTACAAATCTATACAAATATCTCTGCTACGAAGAAAATAAATACTGATGGGAAATATAATAAAACTATATGTTTTCTAAATCATGTGTTTTTAATCTTTAAATAAGTGCATCCTCTCGTTCTTCCAGTATTTGTAAAATAATGCTTCGTTTATTCTATATCTATTGCAGCTTACTATAAAATACCTGCATATAATTGTCACTTGATTGCAAATGCCTCCAAAAGACCTTTCAACTAACTCTGTAGTAAATAGAAATACACAAAGATTAATTATCATTCATTTGAGAGTAATTAACTACTAGTCAGGGATGTATGTGTTGGATAAATGTAAAGCAAAAACATTTTTTAATTAACTTTTGAGTTTATTGGAATAATTTATTAAAAGAAACAAAAAATGTGACTACTAAACGTCACAATATATATTTTTTTTTATTGCTTAGATCGGTGGACGAGCTCACAGTCCACCTGGTGTTAAGTGGTTACTGGACCCCATA